TATGTGTATGTGTATGCATATGCATATGCGTATGCGTATGCATATGCGTATGCGTATGCGTATGTGTATGTGTATGTGTATGTGTGTGTGCGTATATGTATATATATATACACACACACACCTACTTCTTCAATTTCATTCAGTATCCATGCACTCCTGGGCCTGCCTGCCTGTACTGCCGATGCCCAAATGTTTGCAAGTTCATCCGCGCATAACATCACAGCATGTCAGATCAGCTTCTCTCGAACGAGGCTGGTTTCGACCTGGTTTGGCGTCACCAGCTCGTCTTCTTCCAAGCAACAGTCATATGTACAAGGACCACAACCTGCACTAGTAACGCCAGCGATTGCCTTCCAGAGTAGTTTCCTTCAATGCCTTTTTCACTGCACTTCCATCTCGTGCTAACTTTTTTCCAGCACTTCCAAGTCCGCCCCGCCTTCATGGACACTTCTTGCCATGGAGGCTGTGCCAAGGTCACACAACAAACGTGGCCCAAGTCCTTACTACAAACTGACAACAAAAAACTGACGTGTGGAAGCATTGAAACACAAAAGCGACTGGCTACACTATCGAAGCTGAGGCACCGAAGCTGTCGCAACAATCGCCCGAGCTGCCTGCTCCATATCCTGCTGCTAAGACTTTAAGAGCGTCCATGCAGAAGACGATCAGCTGAAAACATATCAGCAGGATTCAGCAGGCCTGGAGCATAGCCACATCTTTTGCATCCAAATGCGGTGAAGCCTGCCGAGCTGATGCCGGGTCCGTGGGGGAAGAAACAACTAAGCTCGATCCCGAAGTATTCTTGTACGCTTTTCCGAATTAACGTGCCCACACAAGTGCAATTCGGCACCTCACTCCGCCACGCGCCACTCCGACACCAAGCTTGGAAAGCCTGGCGAAGGCATCCACAAAAGCACATGCACGTTGCACATACAAGCATGCCTGCTTGGATTCCAACCAAGTGGTTGGAAATAGCGTGTCGTCCCAGTCCTGTGCCAAACTCCACCATGCGATGCAACGGCTCGGAGCGACTCTCACAGCTTTCCATTGATTCTCGTTTCACATCGTTTCACCCGCAAGAAACCCACTGCAGCCTCTCCATGATGTCCCCGCATTCATGGCGGCCAGGGGTACAACAAAGATATTCAAATAACATATGGCTCAAATGCGAAACCACCACAACCGTATCCTGACTGCGCTGGCACATGCTCGCACATTACAGATACAAGCCTCACTGCTTGCTTGTGTCACATATCTGGTGTTGGCATCTCAGTACTTTGGGAGTGTTGTGCGATTGAAGACTGTTGTGGCGTAGAGGAAATGCAACAGTTTCCTCCCAGGCACCCTGCACGACGAAAACATTCGCACTCGCTTCCCGTGCAACCAAGGGTCCAGGAATATGAGCGTGCAATCTGGTTGCTGCCAATTGCCGGAGGAAGTGGCAGCACTGCGCATTGATGAACAACGGGATACGGGCATTGGGCAACAGTCGCCTGCAACGCCAAGCTTGCCGCAGCAACATCACTGATTCCCACCGCAGATTCCACTCAAGCGGGCCTATATCCAAACATGAGGTCGACTGTGGTGTCAACGTCGTGTTATCCTGTCAAGCCAATCGGCCAGAAGTGCTTGCCAATGCTTTACAATGTGACCCGGCATGGCACCGCATCCGAACAGTATCGAACAGTAAGTAAACGAGACCGAACCATACCACATCGCTTTGCAAGCGTCGGAATACGTCTTCGCATTGTTGTCAACCCTGCTATCATCCGGATCTCTGCTCAGCATTCCATAGGAGCCATCCTTGGAAATGTCATCTGGCATGTGTCAAGCCCCCTGCTCTGCACCGTAATTGCAAAACAGCGGCCCATTTCTCGGTATCGATCAAAGCGGGCTTCCGGATGTACATGGATTCGGACCTGTTCCGGGCTTATGTCCAAGCCAGCCCCCAGGACCTCCCGACCTTGAGGAATTCGTTGGCAGACCACTGCGGAGGACAATGTAGGTGAACATATGAACGACTAATGTAACCGACGGATGTGGGACTACCTTCTGGGGAACCAGCGTGCGTGCATGAAATCGTGCATGGAGCGTGCAGAAGTCTGCAACAATCAGAAGCTACATGCAAGTGTCATGTAACCATGCTTTCATGTGGGCAATTTCTCAAAGCCGAAGCTGATTCACACCTTTGTTCCCTCGGAAGGTCCGTAATATCTCAATGACGAGCCCCGTGGTGCCTTTGCCGCCGTGGGCCTGTATCCAACTCCAACTCGCGGTCTCCTTACGCACATGCGTTCACTTGATGCTTCTATCATCATTTCTCGAATGGTTCGCTTTAATCGAAGGCCGACAGCCAAGGCAGGCGAGAATGATGCGGCGTGATTCTTTTCTTTGTCACGCACCTTTGAAACCATCCACGCGGTCCCAGCGCTACCGGAGCTACGGCCTACGGCGAGCTTTAGGCAGCGTGTGAGGTTGGCGCCGGCAAGCAGCTGATCGTCGGGGGAAGGCTGCCCCTGCACATCCACAAGGGAAAAAAGTTCTTTTTTTTTAAAAAGTTCCGGCGCCTGACCCGCGACGCAGGCCTCACCAGCGGGCGGGGCCGGAGGCGCCGGAGCAGCAGCACCCGGAGGTGGTGCGCCGACGGCACGACAACGGCGGGGGGCGTGGGGAACGCTGTGAAGGCACGGGCCACATGGGGTCCTGCTTGCGAGAGCAGCAGCGCTCGAGACGCGGGGTCGAGTTGAGAAAGGTGCGTCTCTAAAGCGCGCTCATCACAAGCGGAAGCAGCGGCGCGTTGCCATCCACGTAGGGTTTCCTCGGCGGCCTAAGCTAGCCGTTGGGCCAGTGCAGCAGAAGTCCCCCCCCCCAGAGCGGCGTGGGGAAGCCTGCCTGTCGGACCGCGGCTGCAGCTGAGAATGCCGCTGCGAAGGCAAGCGGCATGCCGGCGTTCGGTGAGTTCAAGCTGGCGAGGAGCTGCTCGGCTTCGGTCGGCAGGCGTGCAAGCAGTGCGGGGAGGGAGTCCTGCCAGGAGGCCCAGTAGGCGGCTAGCGCTCCGGCTGCGGCGGACCGCAGACCAAGCCCTCCGTAGCCGAGTGGCAAGTGAACTGCCTAAACAGCTGCAGCCGGCAGCGGCGAGACAGCGTCTCCGTGTACAGCAGCGTGCTGGGGCAGGCTTCAACAGCCCGATGTAGCCTGATCATGCTTCCGAACATACTTTTTTTACTGCTAGTACGAGGGAAGCGGCAAGGGGCAGGGGCATGGAGCCAGCGGTCGTCCTGCAGGACCTCGTGCACAGCCGGCTCGCCGGCAGCAGAGGCGACAGTGTCGAGGGGGAGCTCGAGCAAAGAGCTGGCGAGGGCTCGCTGCAGCCCGCGCTCATGCAAGGAGGCGCAGGAAGGTGGCGGGCCACCAACCTCAACAGCGAATACTACGAGGTGGCATCGCGGCGAGCGCGAGAGCTCGGCGTAGGTGTCGCGACGCTGACGTCGCGTTGCTTGCTGCTGCCGGCTCCAGGCCGCGGCTCGCCGGAGCGAGTGACAGGGCTGACGCAGGTGGTGTGTCCGGCGTGCGTCGGGCACGGGGATGGCGAGGTTCATGTTGGCAAAGCACCCACTGCGAGCGACCCGAGCGCCAGCCCCCTGGCAGACCCTCGCGACAGCTCGCCCGAGGGGGAAGGCGTGGGAGGCGAGGGCGCCGAAGGTGGCACGGGCTGCTCGCTGGTCGCGGAGGCGCAGAGCCGCTGCTTCATGAGTATAGAGCGGACTTATAAAGCAGCAGGCGGCATGTGGCCCAGCCTGGGACAGCAGCCATGCTCCGGACGCGGAAGGCCGGGAAGCGAAATGCGTCTCAAACGCGCGCTGGTCAGGCGTATGGCGGCGTACTGCTGCCAGCCCCGGAGGCTGGTCCTGGTCATCTGCGTGCGCTGGGTGCTGCGGTGTTAACGCGTCCGAAACGGGGACACGGCGGCCTTGTGCAGCGAGATGGTCAGCGGCTTGTGCGGCCGCCGCGACCGCAGTAGAGCCGCTGGCATGACAATGAGGTGCAGCGAGCGCGTGCAGGAGGTTCGTGGCGATCTGTCAGGAACGAGCACGGATTGCGGCAGTGTGTCGCGCCAGGAGGCCCCGTAGGCCGCACAGTGATCGGCAGCTGCCGAACGCGGCCGGCAAGTTGCGAAGCCTGTACTGCGGCGGCTGGCAGTTGATCGCCGCGGTGCACAAGGGTACCCATGCAAGTCGCAACCGCGGCGTCGCAAGCATACTCGGCAGTGGGGTCCGGCGGAAGCATGAAGAGGAAGGAATCGGCGCGCAAGGGGAGGCGCAAAACAGCAGGAGAAGCCAGGCCGACTGCAAGCCGGTGAAGGCCGGGATGCGCTGCAACAGAGTGTTGTGCTGGCGGTGCTTCTCCTGCAAGTGCTGTCGCGCAAAGGTTGGCCAAGAACGACCAGTCCAGAGCGTTCCGGAGGCGAGCTCCGTGCCCCGACCCGAACGTCGCCACCCTGTTCGGGCTGGATGTCGGAAAGATTGGGAGGCTCCTCGCCCGCAGCGTTCCAGACGCGGGTTTTGCCCTGGTTGAGTTGGACTCCCGGTGCGGAGCCTCGGCGTGTGCCTAGGACAGCAGCAGTGTTTCTGGGGCTGGGGCGTGCGCTAGAACTTTCGGGCTGAGTGCGTCGACCGGCACATTGACATGGTGCCTTCGGCTGGGGTCGCAGAGCTTGGCGAGCGTGGCCTCGTCAGGTGAATGAGCGGCTGGCGGCAGAGAGCTCACCCAGGTGCACAAACGCTTCGGCTCGCGCGGCCCTCCGCTCAACGTCGGCGTCAGCTGGCGCAAGCGCACGCCGGCCTGACACCCCAAGCGGCTGGCAGGCGTCTCGGAGGAGCGTTAGCCACTCGCCCTGGCTAAACAATGCTAAACACGCCAGCGCGGCGCTGGAGCTCGCGGGGTTCGATGCGGGACTGTGCCGGCTCGCGGTGGAGGAGCACGATCCACCCTCGCACGACACTTCAGGGCTCCGTTCCTCGACGGCTTGTAGAAGACCCGTGCGGAGCGCGAAACGGAAGACTCCCCGAAGTTGGGTCGGTGCACTTTGCAAAGTCAACACTCGTCGCCTGAACTCCGCTCCGAAGTCGATGTGAACGAGCATCTCCACACCGAGCCGCACTCCAGCGGCTGTGCGGAGGTTGCGAAACGGAAAGCGCAGCGCAAACACGCACCCACCCGGGACCTTGTAGTCGTTCGCCGCTTGGTGTACGTGGCCTGGAGGTGGGCGCCAGGTTCAGGCCGTTGCCTTCCTCCGGCGGTTGGCCAAGGCTCGTGCTCGCGAGTCACTAGCGCGTTTGCGCCCGGCAGTACACCGTGCGTCTTTGCGGCATTTTGCTGCGTTGGACAGGCACGCTGGCTGCGGCGTCGCACCGCGCGATGGCCGATACTCGCTACTTGAGTTGCCGTTGGCGAGAGCGGACGAGTGCACGGACCCACCTTTGAGCGACCTGATGGTGGATGCTCGTGACGCCGAGGCAGTGATCACGAGCTGTCTCCCCATTACCGAGCTGCCTGTTCCACATCCGGCGCGCTCGCCTCCCGAGTTCTGCCACTCGAACGCATGCCGTTGCTGTCGTCTCGTCATCTTTGGGCTCGATCATACACGACACGGTCAAGCCGTCGCCGATCGTCTGCCGGCCGTCGTGTGCGAAAGCCTTGGTTGCGGGAAGGCCTGCCCGTCAGAGCCCACCGCGTCGCCGGACAGGGTCCCGAGCAAGCTCCACAGTATTGGGGGCCTATAAGAGGGCGTGGTCACGGATTATCACGGACGAATCACGGCCTTGGTCCACACTCTGGCCCCGAGCCACAGCGGCTCGGGCACAGCGGGTCGGGCACAGGAGCAGGGGCCAAGTACAGGCAACGAAGCAAAGCGATCTGCAGGGAGCGCCACCTCGCTCGGTACACCACGCTCCGGCGCGGGAGTCGTGTCGCGTGATGCTGCCTGGGCATGCATCGTGGGGAATCTTGGGGTGGGTGCCTTCATAAGCGGCGGGCCAAGTGGGGCAGTCGATCGCCAAGCAACAGTCAGCCCGTCCGGGAAACGGGGCCCGATGACGGAGAGCGCATCCAGGCCGATGCTTTCATAGAAAACGGGGACGGAGGCGAGCGAGCAGACTTGACCTGCACCACGCATACATGGAATGCCAAATGGCCTGGTGGGTAACTCTAGGAAACACAATTATTTGACATTCCGTACCACTTTTCTACAAGTCTTTACCATCGCATGCCGTTTCGTTCAGTTTGTTTACGGCTCCACCGTTCTTGCATATGTTAGACATTCAACCCCAAATTTTAAAAATTCAAGACACGACCTTTGAACAAAGAAGATGTCATGATCAAGCTGTTACATGTAGGGGGTGTTGAATTCCTAAATCAGAAGTTTTGGTGAATCATGAAAAACTCCAAATGGTACTTTTATCCCCGGCGTACGCATATCCCTGCCTAAGTTGGCCCCTGACCTGTGGCTATGCCCCGCAATATCCCAAACAGCGGGCCATGGTAACTGCCGTCCGTATGACTACTGCTGGAACCGTCGCGCGCGCCAGGCAGTTTGCATCCGCGAGCAGCTCAATGACTTCCGCGTCGTGCAGCCGGAGCTTCCACTGCTCAGCCGGGCCTGCCAGCCCTGCTGCCCGTCCTCCCTTAACCTCGCGGAACGCGGTCCCACTGCACCTGCGGCCAGCCGCACCACCAGTGGAGGCTCGTGTTCGAGGAGCTCGAGCGGAGGCGGGGAGCACGGTTCATGCGGATGTCCCCGACAACAAATCTCAAGGCTACGCGTCCCACCATTGGGCTTGCACGGCTGGCACAATGTCGTCTGGCATGCGGGCATACGATGCCTGGCATGAATGCGAGGGATTTCCGCTGTCAGGCCAGATGGGTCTGGGCAACCCTTTTTATGAATGTGCACGGCGAAGGTTGGCAAGGAGCGCCACGCGATTGGATCCCGTGCAACAACGTCAGGGTCACGAGGGTTGTTGGGCTCAGGGCCCAGGGCCTACCCGGCGGCCGGCAGCTCGCCCAGGTGGGCCACGTGCGTGACGAACACGCGCCTGAGCATCGTGCTCAGAACGCATGCGGCTTATGGTGGGTTTGCGGCAACGGCTGCGATAGGGCTTCGTCGAGCATCGTCGAGCAACGGTGCCCACTCGCCGTTCGAACGCTCGACATCTTCGCGGAGGTCGCAGGCGGCAGCGTGCGGGAGTTGCGCGAAAAAGCAACTGTGGGTGAGAGGCAAAGAGACGGAGGCCAGCGGGGCTCCTTGGCGAAACCAAGCACTTTGTTCCGGAAGTGGAGTGTCCATACCAGTTCTGGGCAGGGCGCCTGCTTCCCCACAGATACGCGTGGCCGCATGCTCAAGCGGGCCAACATGCTAACTTGCGAGCAATCGGAGCACGTCCAAGCTTCCGCTGCAAGTCAGCGAAAAAGCATGACTCGGTATTCTTCGTCCGGCACCATGACGTCGGTGCTTGTGGGGAGGGCCGTGAAAGCTGCATCCCCTGCCTGTGTCAGCAGCCGCACACCCGAGACGTTGGGTCCGGCTCAATGCAAAGTGTGTCGAGCGCTTGTCAGTGGCGGTGGAGGATAGTGGAGGCCGCCGCTCCAGATCAACCGGTGAGGACCAGCAGTACCCTGCCCTCAGCCTCCGCTCACCCTGCCGTCCTCAGCTGGAGTTGGAGGGCGGCAGCCCTATCGTGAATGCCTGTATAGCGGGGCTAGTGTCCCCGGATCGTTGGCCGAACATGGACCTGGCCTGGCTTCTCCTAAGCCCACGACGAGGTGCAAGTAGCACTTACTTCGCCTTCGCCGCACTGCCACCATGCGGTGGCCATGGGGGTTCCGAGTCCACTGTCTTGTTGAGGCTACTGGCACAACCAGGAGCTGCGCATGCGCAGGCCGCCGTCCACTGGCTTAGCGTGCAGTGTTCGGCATCATCGCATATCATGGCGTTTGCGGCGCAAAACAAAAAAAAACACCGGCACCCTGCACGCAAGGTGACGCGCAGGACTGCTGCAGCAGCAGCAGCAGCAGCAGCAGCAGCCACGAAACTTGCAAGTCACGTGTATCAGGGAGCAACTCGAGAAAAGCACGGTGCTGCATGGAAAGATGTCTGTTGAGGCAGAGCAGGGGTGGGGCAGGGTAACGGCAACGCGAAGCAAAACCTCAGCTACAAAACGTTGTGTTTTTCGGCATGGATCTGGCCTTTACAAGCCTTAATCAACTTTCGCCAAAGGCAAAGCCAAGCGAGCCCCAACCTCTCTTCGGCACACAGCTGCCCCAGCATGGTCGTGTCTTTGGTCGGGCATGCTTAGAGTGGCCGTGCAAAGGCTTTTGCCAGCGCTGCGCGGCGACAGCGAAGATGCCACTCCAGCGGAGCAATCAAGAGCAAAGCCGGGCAAAGGATGCAGCGGGTGTGCCCGACGCACGGGCTTCCCCGGCCCAACGGCCAACGAGGCAGCACCCTCCGGCTGCCCGGATATGTTTGCGCCTCGTTGTGCTTCGCAAATCAACGTCCGGGCCGTCCATGACACGTTGCTGGGCTGCCCAGGGCGGCATCCACAGAGCCAACGCGCCATGCCAAAGCGACAGGTCGCACATCCTGCAGTGGGTGTTTTTGAGGGCCTCCTAGGATCATCAAACACGAGCGTCCATGCTTTGATCCGCGAGACGAGGCGGCGAAACGTGTCGCCACAAGCGACGTCTCGCACGGGTGCTCCCCTGCGTAGACTCGCGAAGGCAGCGGGCCACAAAACAGCAGGCAGCGGCGGGACAGTGCCTTGTCGAACCTTGGCGCATGCCACATCTTGCGCGGCAGCCGCCTCGGCATCCACCATGTCCAGCTTTAGCATGCTTACTCGGCAGTTTCTCTGTTCCCTTGCTTGCTTGTGCGAAGACATACCCGTCGCATTCCGCCACAAGCATACCCAAACACCTCGGGCGCAATGTGGGCTTCGTCGAAAATTCTGCAGGTTCAGCGCTCCACGAAAATCCCCGGGGCAACGAAAATCCCCGGGGCACAAATAGAGCCGGAAAATTTCAGGCACGCGTCACAAGTCTGTGGTCACAGCGCACGGCATACTCACTCGATCCGAGGCTTGCCGAATCTGAAAAGGGAATCGATTGTCCGGAGGATTGCGATGGATTGCGTTCGGTGAATCCTCTTGCAAACGGCGATACCGCAGCGTGATGATCCGTTGTTTCGTCACACTGTCCTCTGCGCAAATGCAGCGACGCCATGACGCAGAGCTCAAAAGAACAACGCTGAAGTCGCATTGCGTCTGACAGTACGAGTACGAGTACAGGAGGAACCGAGAAGCCTAACGAAACCGAAATCTCCCAGTGTCAGCCAAGCTTCCGGGCTCAGTGCAGGTCCTGCAGCAGCCCCCAACAAGAGTACGAAACTACTAGAGTCACTAGAGCTGCGGTCAAAACGCCTCAGGTTCAACTGCAGATGAACACAGGTCACAGAACAGCTACAGAGCATGCACCAATTATGGAAACCACTATGATCACTATGAAAGCCGACGGCTGGAGTGCTTTGCTCGTCTGAAGATTATGAGAGTAAGAGACCTACTCGCAAGCTGACATACGTTGACTCCGTTGACTCAAGATGCTCGCACACTGAGGCAAGCAACATGAATCACGCAAAGACACAGATACACACACACACACACCCACTCACTCACTCACTGCACGGTGCAAAACACAACAGCAATCGAATTTTGGAACGCAAGAAGAAATACCGTCAGAACCTCTCTGAAAACACAGACCGCTCTTCCGGTTGGATGGAGACTCTGTGTTGACAGAAGCCCAGCTAGCAGCTCGACCAATCCGAGGCTTGATTCAATAATTCAGTCTTAGGACACACAGCGGCTGGTATGAGATAGGATCTGTCAAGACATCTGGTTCGTAAGAATGAGGTGTCACAACTGGAAAAGAAACAGCGTTTTGATCGACCTCTAATGCAGCATCGACTTTTGTGCCAAAAAACGAATGGCCTACCTCCCGCGTTGCAGGCTGAAAAGGCACGTAGGCTTCCTGGCGAAATGTCTTCGGTTGCTCGAGAGCTGGCAGCTGATCGATGTCTGCAAGTTCGGACGCCGAAGCCTCATGTGACAGCCCGGAAAGGCCGGCTGTGGACCAAGGAGTCCCAACACATGGCTGTTATCAAGTTTGCACCTACGAACTTTGGCGATGCCCTTCAAAACCCCATGCGGGCTGCGTGCTTCAGCGGACACATGGGAAACCCGACTGGAAACGACCATGCTGTCGGGGAAGTCCACTTGCTGCATCTAGGCCACGCTTCGCTGTGGTAGGCCGGATACGCGCGCAACAGCTCCTGGACTTTGTTCTGGAATCCTGGCTTCAGCACGAGTGGCTGCCCAAGAACAACACAGACCGTCAACCAAAACACGCAAAGAACGAACACTCTTGGATGAACATCTTTGGAGATTCTCCTTCTCGTGGGTCGCATTTCCTGCCCACGATCTCGTCGCCAAACAAGTGGAACTGGCTGTCCTAGCCAAAAAAAGAAACTGCGTACAAGCACTCCTCCAACTCAAGTCTAGCATCTCGATGAGTTTGCATCGAGACAAGGGATTGCCGATGCGGCGCTAGTTCAACCAACGGTAGCCACCTTTTTCTCCCTGTGGTTCCATGATGATTATTCCATGTGACCCTTTCAGAGCCGCTTCCTTGCGGTGAGGGTCCAGGTCCGCACCTGGACACAGGGAGGCCCGTGGCTCATTGCCCTTAGGGGCGTCGAAATCTTCGGACCAGGGCGGCTGGTCTGGGGCTCGGGAGTCGGGTGCATTGCTGGGGCATAAGCTTCGCACTAGCGATCTGTTCTGAGGAAGCTTGGAAGACAAGTGGCAAGGCTCTAGAAGTGGAGCAGTCGAACGAAGGTGCAAGGCCGAGCTACTTGTGTCCCTCACGAAATCTTTACAGCCACAACTGCCTATAACGAATCAAAGCAACCGTAACCGTAACGCGGCGTTTTTGCGATGCTGACACAGACGTGGATGGGGCACGAGAGTTCAACGGCTCGCCTGGGCATGAGGTCTTTGCTGAGGGATCGGGAAAAACGACGGCAAGAACTCAATCACCTGACATCACTTGGCCTTTCAGTTCCGAAGACCCTCGCTTGACGATCTTCTACAAGTAGGAAATACGGGACAGCAACCCAAGCCCAAAGGGGTCTAAAGTCTGCAAGTATAAACACTTGACAATGCCTGCGTCTGGCGCCAACCGGCTGCAGCTTGATCTGCTAAGCGCTGAAAGCATGGTGCTCGTCAACTGTCCCAGCGTGGTTCGGCTAGGCCGTGGCTGAATGCAGTAGTGGAGGGTCAGGCGCTGGTGTGCACGGACAAGATCTTCGTATACGCATCACTTGTCTAATACTGCATCTCTGATTCTAATGATCAACCAATCTCTGTCAGACAAAGCTCCGAACAGCTGACGGCAAGAAGCGCACAAGAAGCACAAAAATTACATGAACTTCCGTACGGTAGGTATCCTTTCGATATTGGCAGTTCGGCCAAGCAGGGATTATGACGTGGCCCAAGTCCTCAACCCACAAGCCTGAAACAGGAGCGGACAGAGTTCAGGGTTCAGGACCGGGGTTGTCCAGCCTGAGGGTGCATGTTTAGGGTATGCCCTGGATTTAGCGGGTAACCACACGGCAAAAGGACCAGAAACAGTGCATGAGGGGGCGGCGCATAGACTCACCGACACACAAAATCACACAAACACATATATACACACACACACATGCACGCATTTTCCTCTTGTTCCTCCGCTTCTAGGCACACACACACACACGGTCAAACCATATACATATACATATACATACACGTATACA